GATGTAATAGGGGATTTAGGACTCTGGAAATGGCCAACTAATTTATGTGAATCTATTTTATTTCAGCTAGAAAGACCCAGCTCTTTCACTGCGGTGCATATTGTGTAGCACAGGCTGTCTATACAGAACCAGGCGGCTGCATATGGATAGTCCCTTGATATCATTCACTTGCTGTGTAATCTTATTATGCAAAGTTCTAATCTTCACCTAGAATGAATGCCTCTGGGTCAGAATATAGTCATATCAGGGTTTCTGAGGTCATGTTTTGTGATCCTTAGCTTATTCTTCTAAGTAGGACTGGGATTTAAAGGGTATTCCCCAGACACTAGCAGAGATAGACAGCAGACCCTGCTGCCTTTTTGGAAGACGAGACCAACATGAGGTCCCTAGTAGGATTAAAGTTGATTTGTAGCTGTAGGATTTTTTAACAGATGTATTATTGGACAGGGAATAGGGGGCCACCAGCACAGCAAAATTGAATCATGACTGGCATTCTCAGGGAGTTTGCTGCCTGCTCAAACAGCAGCTGCATGTGGATTTGACTTCTTTCAGGTGAAGCGATTTCCAGTCATTTGGAAAGGATGGGATGAAAAGGAACCTGGGTGATAATTTTGATGTCTGCAAGATTTAGTACCAGTGTAATGGGATTATCGGTAACACCTTCACTGCAGAAAAAGCCACCTGGCGTTATAACTGGCAGCAACTGAGAACTAATCCTTTCCCATCTCTTGGATGTCATTCATGAAGCTCAAAGCGATTTCTGCCCTGCTAACTGTGATTAATTTTATAAACAACAACAAAAAACCAGGTGATCAAGGCAAAGAATATATCTTTTATTGTAATATGTATAATAATGTGATTCATAAATTTTGTGACATACACAAACTGAGTATCATGGTTCAAATTTTATTAAACTGTTCAAATGTAAAACTTGTTTGGTATGTCTTATACTTTTTCCTAGTTGAGTGACCAAGTAGTTAAGATTTGCACATGAGATTAAATATTATCATATTCTTTTGTATGTAAGACCATTATTGATAAAATAAAAATATTTATAGATATAGGAAATTGAAAATAATTTGTTTTGGCATATATTTTACCTGTTTTTGATTGTTTGAATTGCTGATGATGGTTTTTGGTGAGTATTACATTTAGTAATTTAAAATATGTAATACATTTTTTGATATTTAAACACCATTCACTCAGACTGTTTTTGAAATGGCTTTGGGGGAGAGGCATGGTGTCAGCATGGCCAGGGCTGAGGATAGTTAGTGCAGTGCTGAGTGGCTGTGCTGGAGATGAGTGGTGCCCGGTCCAGCTCTCATTTGGAGCTATTTGCTCTGGAAATCAGTTCAGTGGTTAATTTTTTTTTAACATTTTATTTCTGTCCAAAACCTTATCAAATACTTTGTTTAGAGGTGTTAATTGTTTTAATATTCTTCTTTTATACTATTCAGAATAAACTGAGAGAAAATGAAGTGAAATTATCCCGTCAGTCACCCAAACAGTATGCACCATAACTGCTGAGACAAGAAAAGATAATTAGTGTTGTCAGTGTTATGATCTCAGAGTAGTTAATTTAAAAATATTTATTCAGAGGACTTGACTTGTATCTTATTGTGCTTCTTGATCTAGTAGCTTTACATTTCAAAAATAGATTATAAAAATGGTGGTTTAAATGTTTTTCAACTTTAAATTTTTAACTGAATATAGGTGATTAAAGTATTTTTGTGATATTATAAGAATAAAGCACAGTCACTTTACAGATGTACCTATAGCATCTGATTGTATGTAGTACCTATATCTTCTATGTAGTCTTTACTGGAGAGCGGGCAAATGGAATGTAGGTATAAATAGTGTTCTGCCAGCTCTCCCTGCCAGGCTGTCACTCTTAACTGGATTTGGTGAAACTGGTGTCAAACTACTATATTGTAAGTGCGCTTTGATATTTTACTCTATTTGAAACAAATAGGGGAGAAAGTGTAACAGTGTTTCTCCTGAGTGGTGTATTTACTATTTGAAAAACTATTTACTTAAAGTTTTATTATTAGGAAAAGCTACCCATGAAATACAGGGACTGAAATCTTTCTTTCCTCATCATGATAAGACTTGTATTATTTAGTTAGATAGTTTACCACCTCAGGATAACTCTCTGCGATAGTTAATAATATTGTGTAATTGTTTTTTAAAGTATTGTTTTTTTCAAGACAAACTGCCTGGAAGTTTGCTCTTAATCAGCACAGCAGGAATTTATACTTGAAGTTAAGCTATTTACTTAGTGGCTCTTCAGACTTAGTTTCCTAGGTGCCATTCATATTCTATTAGAATTTTTTTTCCTTAAGGTCCAAAATAAGTACATCTTAATTAAATTCAACATGAACATGTAAGGTCTTACCAGTGTTGTAAATTCTTCTGTATACATATAGGTTGTTTAAATGTAATTTAGAAATCTTGGTAATTTAGGAATTTGATTCATCTTGGAAAGGTACGTACTAATTTAATTTGCAGCATGGATGATACATAATAATGCCACTAAGAGTTAAGGTATTTTGGAAGATAAAATAATGGGATAAAAGATAGGAAAAATGAGAAGTATATTGAAAGGGATGTTAGGTTTAACAAAACAGCAATCTGGGAATGATAGAAATTGCTGATTAAGACACGATCAACTTTTTTTTGGAGGTTTACTGACTCAGAGACTCTGAAGAACCACTCTGTGCTAGGGTGTGGCAGCAGTGACAGCGGACTTGTAGTGCCAAATGTTATCTCCTCCATTTCAGTTAGTATCTGTTTAACTTTAGATGTTTGTAAAATAGTATTTTTAGGGGAATGATTATGTGATTGATGAAAGTGATTGAAATAGTTTGCTATAGATTTTATTATATATTCAAATTGATAAAGAAAATGTATATAATTATCCCAAAGTTCACAGTTTAAAATTCAAATAGTTAAATCTTACTGTATTTCTGAAGATGTTGAGCAGGATTCTATGGCCTCAAATATCAGTACAAAGATTTTTTCTGGGTTTCCTTCCTAGGACTTCTTCAAACTTAAAGTTCTGTCTCTTTCCTCCCAAGGAGTCATTATTGGTACTATGACAAGAGCATGAGAATCTGAATTAGGTATTTTCGATTTTGTTTATATTGAGTTATGTGGATCCTGTAGTCGGAGTAAAACTTTGTTTACTGCTTTAAGACTGAGGATGATGGCTTAATAAAATCTTTATACATTATGGGATAAGAGTGCCCTGAATATGCAGTTTGGGAGCATGAAAAGTATCCTCTGGACAAATCTTACAGTAGATTTAGTATGTATAGATTTGATCAATTCATGAGCAGTCCTAAGGTGATTTTTATACAGCAGGAATTTGAATTACTTGTTGGAGAGGCTGCTGTGTGAGAGTGAGCAGCTTGCACTGTAGCAGGGGTGTGTCAATAAGCCTTTGTCTCCACTTTGTCCCCATAGTCTCAATGTAGGATCGGAAGTAGACATATGTCTTACAGTTGTTTATGTTCATATTCCTATGGGAAATAGTGTTTTTAATGTAATTTCATCTCAGATATGTCAAAATGAAAGTACATATATCATTATAATTGTTTTTGAAGAAAGGTTTCTTGTATTCCAGACTGACCTTAAATTACTTGTGTAGCTGAAGATGACGCTGAACTACTTACTTATCTGCTTACCTTCACTTCCCAGTCCACCACACCCTGCTCACATTTTGCTAATATTAGCATTTATATAAGTGACAATGAGTCCTCTTCTTATAATTGGTGCAGTAATGATAACAAAATAATATTAATCATTTCCTTAGTTGTCTCCTTAAATGCCTGAAAACTGTAGTCTCAATATTTGACACATGAAATTTTTTTCTCTATGTTTGAAACAAAATGCCTTCTCAAAAAATTCCATACCTAAGTCATCATTTGTGGGTCATTTGTGGTTTAGGAAAGTCTGAAATCACCTAGTCTGTTTTAGCCATTGGAGCTAAATCAGGATTGTAGAGTTGGTGTCTATACCCCCAAATATCTAAGGATAGTGGGATCTCTTAACTTGGGTCTGGCTTCTGCGTTTCACTCTGTTCAGTTTTTCTTGTTGGCTTTACTGTCAAATCCAACTTCTCTTTTTTTCCATGTGACTCTTTACTCCCATCCGTTTAGCAGTTGCTAAAAACATTTCTTTCACTGGAAGTGAGAGATGGATAGCATAGGTGAAGAACTTAGGGCCAAAGAACTCTGATTGGTGAGCTGTTCTCAAACTTTCTGCCCCTTGGTTCCTTCATGTGTAAAGTGAGATGCACAAGTGTGGAGTGAGCTCGTCTCTGTAGAGCAGTTACAGCAGTGCCTGGCACACAGGTGTGGAGTGAGCTCGTCTCTGTAGAGCAGTTACAGCAGTGCCTGGCACACAGGTGTGGAGTGAGCTCGTCTCTGTAGAGCAGTTACAGCAGTGCCTGGCACACAGGTGTGGAGTGAGCTCGTCTCTGTAGAGCAGTTACAGCAGTGCCTGGCACACAGGTGTGGAGTGAGCTCGTCTCTGTAAAGCAGTTACAGCAGTGCCTGGCACACAGGTGTGGAGTGAGCTCGTCTCTGTAGAGCAGTTACAGCAGTGCCTGGCACACAGCAAACGTTATACGTAAAGACTTGTTATCTGCTGCCTGACATATTCTCATATATATTAAAAGAAGCTATTATCAACGATGTGCCCCAGCATACTTTCTGTTACAGACCTTCCTATCAGTAATGTAGACACCAGCCTTGCTTACTACTGACCAACATTACTTGAATTTTGCTATATTTCTAAAAAAGATCATTCTGTATATCTTGGTATATTAAGCAACAGGCCACATTTATGGATATTTTTAGTTTTTGTTATCTTTCCTACTAATTGTATTGATAAAGTGTGTATGTTCTTTAAAGCACTTGATTCAATATGTTAATGACTTAGTTTTTAGAACATTTAATTATAATAGGGAAAATAAGATATCATCTTCTGTTTTCTAGGTAGAATTAGAATTTTGAAGCACTGTCTTGAAGACTCAGGACTGTAATTCTGGCTACTTGGGAAGTAGAAGCAGAAAATTTGTAGACGCAAGGCCTGCTTGGTCTACAAGGTAAGTCAGGCCAGCCAGCCTCAACAAGTTAGTGAGGAGATGCATCCGAGTAAAAGAAGGGATAGAGTCTGGGGCTGTCTCTCAGTGCTAGATGTTTGCCTGGCGTGCTCAGCACCCGGGTTTCAGATTTGAATGCTCAAGCTCTCGACCTCTGCTCTTAGCACAACTAGGATATGGTAAGTTATATAACACGTGGCAATGCATGACTAGAAGAGGAAGGTCAGCGAGGCTACAGGTGACCATTAGCATCCTTGAGAATTTACAACAGTGGCTTTCAAGTGTTCCTGTGCTTCAGAGTCACCTGGAGGACTTGTTAATGTCGAAAACTGAGTCACATTCCCAAAGTATATGAATATATATCTTGGGTTTTCCCCAAGAATGTACACTTTTATTTCAAAAGATTGCCATTTGATTCCGTTTTCTGCTTTTTGGAAATACAGTTGGATCATTTCTAGTTTAATGTGCTAGTATAGGTAGACTGGACCTCTACAGATCTCCATCTAGCTCCACTTAGCTCATTACCAGACCTATAATTTAAGCCCTGATTCTTCCTTTTCTTTTCCATTTATTTTGTCTTTCGAATTTCTTTCCATTGTCACCATCCTATTGCATATGCCAGTGCATTTTCCTGCCTTCCGCCCTAAGCACGTTTCTGCTCTGATCCTCACTGCAGTCCTTTCTCACATCAGTGAGAGCAGTTTGAAAAATTCTGTGTTAGAGCGATTGTATTACTCTTTCTGCTTAAGACTGGTTAGTGGTTTCCTATTACTCTTGAAATAAAATCCAAACTTCCTTAAAACTTTGAATAACTTTTCTTGTCTCTGTGTATCATTTTATATTTTTCATAGATCAGTTTTCTTTCAGTTTTGTCACACATGCATAGTGTTGTCTGCTTATAATTTTCTTGATGTGGGAGTGTCATATATCAATATGTTGATTTCATTGGTTAAGCAATAAAGAAACTGCTTGGCCCTCATAGGTTAAAACATAGATGGGTGGAGTAAATAGAACAGAATGCTGGGAGAAAGAAGCTCAGTCAGGAGTCGCCATGATTCTCCCACTCCAGGCAGATGCAGGTTAAGATCATTACTGGTAAGCCAGCTCGTGGGCTACACAGATTATAAGAAATGGGCTAGTCCAGGTGCAAGAGTTAGCCTAGAAAAGGCTAGATATAATGGGCCAAGTGGTGTTTTAAAGAAAACAGTTTCCATGTAATTATTTCGAGGCATAAGCTAGAGCTAGCCATGTGGGCGGCCGGGTGCCGGGGACGCAGCCCCGCCGCTCTTATTTCAACATTTTCTTACATTTTCTTTTGGAACCTAACATCAATGACCTTTCTCTTAGTGAAATCATTCCTGATATATCCAAAACAGATGAATCATTGTTTTTAATTACTTTATCATATTTTTTCATTATAGAAATCACTTGATATATTTATGCTTTAATTTGCTTCCTTTGTGTATATACAGTAGTTGCTCCAGTAAACTATAAGCTTTATGAAGATGGAGACCGTGTTCACCATTGTATTCCTATGACTAAATGAACTTGGTCTATTATGCTTGAACCATAGTAGTAGTGTAATTAATATTTGTTGACTGAATTAATGAATGACTTGAAGACACTGTTGCCCAATTCACAGCTGTGTTTGGTAGCACATGCCTATAATCTCAATAATTAGGAAGCTGTGGAAAGGGCATTACAAGTTCATTGCTAGTCGAGGCTATAACGATCAAGACCCTGAGAAAAGGCATTTTATTTTACAAAGAAAGTTGAAAAGACTTTACAGTACACATTCATATGTACATAGCCTGGACGTAGCAATAAACATTTTCTTTCCATAGTAACTTTTCCTTTTCCTGTATGTACATACTGTCTTAGTTAGGGTTGCTATTGCTGTGATAAAACACTATGACAAGTTGGGGAGGGAAGGGTTTTATCAGCTGTCATTCCCACACCACAGTTCATCATCAAAGGAAGTCAGGATAGGAACTCAAGCAGGCCAGGAACCTGGAGGCAAGAGCTGATGCAGAGGCCATGGAACATTAAGATTCAGAGAAGACACATGCTCTAGAAATAATGCTATTTTAAAAATTTAAGATTATATTTTGGGAATGCATGCCTGCAGAAGTATGTGTGTGCGCACACATGTTCTAGTGGGAGGTGATTAAATTGTATGTTAGTAATGGCTCTATATGATTTTGGTAGTTTCTGAAGTTACATTTTTAAAGATTTCAAGGAATGAGTGAGTTGTTTTGGTGTGCTCATTCTTTTCTAAGGTGCTTTTCCCTTCCTAATGCGATTATAAGGTTGTTTTGAGATGCTGGTTATCTACATCATGAACTCAGTCACTTAAATGATGGTAACAGATGAAGATAGCTGATTTGTGTCAGTGCATTCTGTGTATATGGAGACATTTTACAATACAGCTCTTTCTGAATTGTTTTAAGAAATGCTGATCATGAAACTTTTTGAAATTCACCATCAGGCCGGTGGTGGCAGAGTCAACATTGAACTATGCTTCGTGGTGTTCTTGGAAAGGCCTTTCGACTTGCTGGCTATACCATTCAATATGGCTGTATAGCTCATTGTGCTTTTGAATACGTTGGTGGTGTTGTAATGGTAAGTTTCTATGTTCAGGAATTTTATTTTAAAACACATTTTTTTTTAACTGAACGAGACATGGATTTTTTTAAAAAAACTTTTGCTTGAAGTCATTTCATGAAAATTAAAACATAAAATCTTTCTAAATATTGGGATGTAAGAGAGGGTATGTTTGGAACTAGGTATAGTGGCACACCTGTAATCTGGAAGCTGAGGCAGTGGACTGTTGAGTTCAAGGATAGGCTGGGCTCCATACTGAGTTCCAAGTCCACCCTGGGACACATAATAAGACTCTGTCACAAGTATCCCCCATCCAGTCCATCCACAGCCACCAAATAAAACAAGAATGTCTCAAAACGATCAGGGCCAGTGAAATGGCTCAGCTGATAATGTGCTTGCTACCAAGTCTGATACCCAGGACCACATGTTGGAAAGAGAACTGATTCTCTGTGGCAAGTACAATCATATACACATATGCTCATGCATTCACGCAGACACATGTGCATGTGCATACACGTGCGCGCGCACGCACACACACACACACACGATGTAAATAATAAAAAGCAAGCAAACAAGCAAAAACAGTATGTTTGTATCAGCACCAGAATAAAATGTAAGAGCCATTGCATTCTTACTTTTATGTTATATTTAGCAGGACACAGTCTCTTGATAACCTGATTATAAGTAGTTATCATTTGAGTGCTGTTTGTCTTTCTGTAATATGGTTAATGCTGTAAAACCTTACATAGTCTGTTGCACTTGCGTGAGGAATTCATTATACTCAAGAAGAAACCCCTATACTCAGAAAACTAACTCATTCCTGGTCCCACAGTTAGTGAGAGAGGTAGAATTTCAACACAAATTTTCTGATTCTAAAAACTACTCATAACTATCATGTTTGTCATTAAAGTAAATGATTATTCTGCTACGATTAGTAACAAAATGTTAAATACTGGCTCTTTCCCTAAGCAATGCTTTTCTCAATATCCCATCACAAATCTGAAAATTCAGAATTTTCAAATCTTTGTTAAGTGAGTGAAACGATATTTGACTGACTGGACAGCCAATAGGATTTTTTGGACTGTTGTTATTTTTTTATTAGTTCTACTGTAAAGGATTGGTAGTTATAATAACCCTTATTTGAGCTGAAGAGAAGAATGTAAGTGTATTTAGCTGACACTCTTTCTGTTAAGTCTTAACAATGACATTAGTACTTCTAGAAGTAGCACACCTTAACTTCATTGTTATTTATTATTTTATTTGAATGTTTATTATTTTGCCTAAGTAGGAAGTTTTGAGTAAAAGATTGTGTTTTCAGGTAGATGATAGAGTAGATGGAGACTGTTGTTTGTATGAAATGGAAATCAGTGTTTCAAAATTAGGCATATATCAAGATTGCTCTTTTCAGGCAGACAGACCCAAATAGCTTTAGTGTACATATGATTGTGTTACTAGTTTTCAGTTGAGAATGCCAGCTACAGCCCCATCATACTGAGAAAGCATTTTCTTGGACAAGGAAGAAGGATATCAATTCTCAGAAAATGAACAGGATTATTTGCTTTAAAAATTGCCACAACAGGCACTAAGTGATGTTTCAGAAAACCAAGGAAGTTCATCATTCATGCAACAAATATGTATCAAGCATTAACATTATTCTTCTTGAGAATGGAAACTTAGATAGCTGGAAGACTGCGACAAGGTCCTTGTACTCCAGTGGAGTTTAGGGTGGCCAAAAATTGGAAAAAAGAGATGTGTTACTTTGTGTGTATCTTACAAAGCAACATCAAACAACTATAATATGGTCTGTTTTCAGGAACAATATTTACCCAATTTCCTTTCTTTTATGTTTACCCAAATGGTTTCTGTTAAATTTAAAGAGATTTGAACTCAGAAGATTGCCTTTCTTTTCAGTGTTCTGGACCATCAATGGAACCCACAATTCAAAATTCAGATATTGTCTTTGCAGAAAATCTTAGCCGACATTTTTATGCTATCCAAAGGTAAATTTCTATAATGAATGCAATTGTAGTGAAAGATATATAAAGTATATTCTTCTGTAACTTCTAACTTTGGTTTTAGATCCTTTTATAAGTAATAAGTAGACAAAAGACTTCAATGGAATATTTCCTCTATGTTTGAGAGCGTTTCAATAGTCAACACATACAGTGTCTGTGGTCACTGTGTCTCTTTCCTTATCATCCAGGACAGTCAGCAGTCCTTCTTAAATAAATATGAAAGCCTTGTTCTCTTTTAGGTTCCTGAAGTGATTAAGTCTGGAGCAAGGGCCTTATGGCATGTATTGCTACCACACTAGAGGTCTAATTGTTTTGTACTTCCATTGATGACAGTCCTGTTTATTCTTTGTACAGAGACATGATAACTAGTCATTGATTTCTAGGTTATGGTTTGGTGTGTGCCTGGGATTGAATTTGGTCTGATATGGTTCTCCAGATTAATTAATTAATTATTAAGTTGAATAATTTCTTGGCAAATACAGTTTGCTACTAAATTTTCCAGAACCCTATTCCAAGTGTGGTTCAAAACCTTGTGCTACTGTTTATCTCAAGAGACATTGTGAGTTTGAGTTCCTTTTGAATAGATGTCAAATATTAGTAGCAGTTTATTTTCTAAACTGTACCTCTCTAAAAACTGCTAGAGAATTAGAAAAAATCTGTATCAGCTTTTATCTCAGTAAACTACAAGTAATTCCCACTAGTGGTATTTGGTATAGAAAGGAGGGTTAGACACTCCTTGTTTTTTGCTGTGGCCCATTTCCCATATGGGCAAATGAAGAGCAGTATGGGCTGTTCTTTCCTTTGCCTGCACTGTCACCCACCCTTGATGCTGCTCACAAAACTCTCTCAATTGAGCTGTCTCACCTGCTAGGGTCCCTAGCAGTTCTTTTAGTTGTAATAACCTGAAGAAACATACTTGTAGATTTGGGATTGTAAATTAAAATTTACACATTTACTTTTTGACTTTTACCAAAATAGCCTACATTCAGCAAGTGAAGGTTCTTTGACAGTTTGCTTTTGTGCTCTGATCACTCAGGAGTCTCAGTAGTGTGTCGTGTGCCTTAGAATCTGGCACTCATGTGAAACATGGCAAAATCTCTTTTAGAACCAAGGCAGGCAGCTGACACTGACTGCTGCTTTGAAAATATTGCTCCCCTCATTCTGTTTGCTGCAGCTTAGGTCTGAGTCAGTGCAATGAATTTCTGACCCTTATTGATGGCTGCTTATGTAGAAATGGAGACCAGGCTTCTGTTTTCTGTAAGAATAGAAGTCTGCTCGTGTGTTATGTAAAGTACACAAGCCTCTTGTCCTTTACCTTCAGGGATTTCTTTTACTTGAGACAATCAATCTCCTATTACTAAATCTTGCAACGAATAGCTAATGGGCATCTACTTTATAAGGTATGTCATAGATTTTAGCAGTGACACCATGCATGAGGCATTGGCATTTGAACAGCCCTCCTGATCTAGTAGGCAGAAAGGACGTTTATGACTATATATTCAATTTTAATAATTTGCTTTTGAAATTTTTGCGATAGAGTAGCCTATGCTAGCCCAAAGCTTACTATCTCATCCAGACTGGATTCACATTTGTAGTGATCCTCTTGCCTTAGCCTCCCATGTTCTGGGAATCGCAAAGCATAGCATCAACAATAGCTATAGTGGGAAAGAAAATTTCACGTTCTGGTTCTGTTAGTTAGTAAATTTTAAAAGTCCCTTTAAAGGAGGCAAGAGTTGAAAGACTATCTAGTGAGGTGCAGACTTTGTTTTATATTGACTGTTGTATCAAATAGCATAAGCTGCATAAGCACCTTTGAAAATGATTTCTTTCAGAGACACACTAGATCAGTTTTCATAGCTTAAAAGTCTGCAAAGTTTTTCATGTGAACCGCTCCACTGACATTTAGAGAACTAAATGACTTGATAACATTGAGCTTTAGAAAGAGAGGCCTCATGGTGTGATTGTTGTCAATACTATTTTCTCTGTTGTCTGTAAAATTCTGGTAAAATAATGTCTTTCTTTAGCATAAAAATCTGCCTATGAATTCCTCCTTGATTTTAGCTGTTAGGGAAAATTTTGTCTTACCTTCCCCTAAACCTAATTTTATTAATGGTAACTAATTCATTTCCTCTTTCGTCCTTTTCTGGTTGCTGGGGACCACACCTGGGGCCTCCTGTATGCCAGACAAGCCACTCTACATTGAACAATATCCACCGCTCTCTCATTTGAGGTGGGGGCTACCAAGATGCTTAGAAGTTGTTGAGTGCTTCCAGTAGAGCAGTAATTTTGCTTCTTTATTCTTTTTTCTACTTTAGTTTATTGTGACAAAGTCTTATCTTGTAGCCCAAATTCACCTTCACCTTACTACATAGCCCAAGTTGGGCTTGAACATCCCTCAGTCTCCTAAATGCTGGCATAATAGGCATTTGCTTTGGCTAGCCCAATGATTAGGTTTTTGAATTATAAACTTCCCTTTATTGCTATAGATTTTATGCTATTTTGACATTTGTATCTTTCATTATAAATGACATGAAAGTATATAACTTATATCTGGAATCACATACAGTTAGTAAATATGTTAAATACTAAAAAATGTTATACGATTCATACAGCAGAAAAAACATTACATTCTGTTTGGTTGGGATATTAGTCATCCACCCCTCACCTCCCAACCCCATGGGTGTTTTAGGTATGCAGGGATGGGTGTTTTGAAACATAGGTTCACTATGTAGCTCTGATTGACTTTGAATTTACTTTGTAGTTTATACCAGCCTCCAAATTATAAATTTTCCCTTCTTCATTTTTGGGGTTACAGGTATACACCACCATGTTGGGAATAAAATCTTTATTTATTCATTGATTTTGCTATCACCATGTAGAATATTACTTCTTACATGACTAAGGCCTTCTATAAGTAGGAAAACTAATATTTTATATATTTAACAACATATCCTATTTTATAGCTTTTAGTGTTTTATTTGGTTGTGTCCAATTTTCCCTCAAATGTAAGTCTATACTGTAAATTACGACTTAAATGAATTATATAGCTTACATAGTATTCTTTAATTTTGAACTTTTGAGAAATAGATGATGTTTCTTCAGTTTTAGTGCTCTAGAGTCAACTATTAATAGCTTTATTTGTAATTATTTGGACACAGAAATAACACATAGTGGTTATAATTCTGATGAGGTTATTAGAAATTACTAATAATTTTATATGGTATTTTTATGACTTCAATTGGCTTCTGACCCTAACTTCTGTTATAATAGTTTTCAAACATGATTAATGTATGGCAGGGTCAATATATGTTAGGATAAAGTGTGTGTGTGTGTGTGTGTGTGTGTGTGTGTGTGTATTTCTTTAAGTTGCCTTATGAAATTATTAAAGCTGTCCTGTGTATGCTTGGTAATAATACTGATACTTCTTTTCCTTTTTTCCCCTTTCAGAGGTGACATTGTAATTGCAAAAAGTCCAAGTGATCCAAAATCAAATATTTGTAAAAGAGTAATTGGTTTGGAAGGAGATAAAATCCTCACTACCAGTTCATCAGATATCTTTAAAAGCCATAATTATGTAAGTAATATTTCAGTTATGTCATTCTTTGATATTATGGTTGATTAATATTAGCTGATTACACTGAGAAAACAAAACAATCTTGCAGAATTTGTATTTGGTTGGAGAGATGGTTCAGCGGTTAAGGACACATACTGTTGTTCAAGAAGACTCAAATGTGAGCCCTAGCACCCAAATTAGGTGACACATAATTCCAGTTCCAGCAGGATCCAACACCTTTGTCCTCTACAGACACAGACATTCACATTTACATAGTCACATGCCCACACATATACACATAATTAAAAATAATAACTCTTTTATACATTTGTATTAATATATATTAATTGTATAATTTATAGTGGGTTTCACTGTAATCTCTTCATACACATATACAATACACCTTGATAACATTCATCTCCCATTACTCCTGCCTAATTTATTTTTTCCAGATTTTCTGACTAATTTATCTTTTCTTGCCTTTGAGTTCCCCTTCTACATTCTTGTTTGTTTTTGTTGTTTTGTTTTGTTTTTGTTGTTGGTAGTGGTGATCCAATGAATTTCATTATGGTTGCTTATAAGAGCACGGGTAGATGAGAAGTTATTTACTCCACCAGTGGCTACCACTAGAGAAAATGTTTCCTCCCACTACCATTCCATGAACCATTAACTGCCAATAACTCTTCAGGCAGGATTGGGCATTGTGAAATTTTCCCCACTTCATGACAGGGTATCAGTAAACCCAATTTTGAGCAGGTCTCATCAGGTAATCATAACTTTCATGAGTTCACAAGGGAATAGCCCTTGATACCCAGAAAAGTGACCCATAGCACTCTACCTTATCCTCTGGCTCTCGTGTTCTTGATGCTCTCTATTCCATGACGTTTCCCGAGTCTTGGAGGGGATGGTATAGATGTCTCATTTATGGTTGAACATTTAACGTTCACTTATTCTCAATGCTTTGGCCAGCTGTGACTCTCCAGTATCTGGTCCTCACTAAGACAAAAAGCATCTCTTAGCAGAGCTGACCGTATGATCAAAAGCAAGTTGGGAAGAAAGGGATTATTTCAGCTCACAACCCAGGTCATCTCCATCACTGAGGGAAGTCAGGACAGGACCTGAGTCAGGGAGCACTGCTTACTGACCTGCTCCTCATGACTTGCTCACCCTGCTTTCTTAGGACTACCTGCCCAGGGTGGGCACTGCCCACAGCAGTCAGTCAAGGAAATGCCCAGAAAACTTGCCTATAGAGTCTTACTGAGGTATTCTTTCTCAGTAGAGAGTCTTCCATCTTGTATTAAGTTGACATAAAACTAATCAACATGGGCATAGCCATTATTATTTTGAAGACAAGCAAACAAAAGTTTTAGAGGTAATTGTGATAGGCATATCATGTCCATTTAGCACAATAACAGCCTGTAGTTTCCTCCTATGACCTTCGAAGTCATGGGCTTTTAGTCAGGTGGACAGCACCTGAAGTGAATTCTGTCCTGCAGAACAGAGCTCAAATCCAGTTAGAAAGCACTTGGCTGCTTCCACACCAAACTTGCCGTGAATATGCCAATGGGTACAATGCTTTGCCAGTCAGCATTGTTATGGGAAAAAGAAACTTTCTTTGTATTTTGAATTAAGAAAAAAAATTTCAACAAATAGAGTTTAAATATATCAAAAACACCATATTTCTTTCTAAAATCCTATAGAATCGCCTCAGTTTGAAGAGAAACTATATTTATGTAGTATTAAAGTGTCTGTTTGAAGATACTCATTACATAAGAAATAGTAGTAACACATAGCAATAAATGTCAAAAATCCTCATGAAGGAAACCTGTCAAATACCACCTTCACCAGTGGTCAAGGTGAACCTTCGTCTGTATCAAGAAATACCAATATGGACGGCAACCGAGAAGATACCTTCAGGCTCATCCTCATCCTTTTCTTCACTATGACATCCCATTGGCCTCTGTCAGAGGATTAGTGATGGAGTGTTCCCCCTCCCTCTAAAGGCTAGTCAGTCAGAGCTTCACAACCTAGTCACTGGGAGCTACTTTTAATCGGGGCTGAAACCTTCTTCCTTGTGGTTTGATCAGTCTGTCTTGGTTCCACAACTAGAAACTCTAATGGAGGATGATCCCATCACACTCGATATCTGTGTATTTGAAGGTAGCAGAACTTCAATTACAACTATTTCATAACACTTGTTTCACAAACACACCCTCATCTGTATCCTAAGGCAAGCATTATGTTTATAATTTCTTTCTTTTCAAACGGGGCTTATTCCTGTGGAACCATAGCCACAAGATCTCCATGACTCAGGTCAAGAGCAGGATATTTGAGAGGACTCTTGGTGAGCGTCCAGCATTGATGATGGACCAGAAGCCAGAGGCCTTGTGCACAATGAACATTTGCAATTAACGCTGAGTGATGGGGTATACTGCATGACCCGCTGCAGCTCCCGATGCCACTGAGACAAATGAAGAGGTGGAAGACAGGCAGGAAGTGGGGCTTTGGTTGCTTGCTTTGGTTTGGTTTGTTTTTAGTTAATTTTTTAAAATTGTCTTTTTTATGGGGATGCTCCAGGAGTGAGGGGTAGAAATGAAAGAACAGGGAAATGAGTCTGATTGGGGTACATGATGTGAAATTCCCAAAGAATCAATATAAAATTATGTTTAAAAAGTGAAAAAAAAAAAGAAATACCAATATGATGTAGATCGAAACACAAAGAAGGACGCCTGACTCTTATGACACTCTAATCAAACAATAACAACAAAGCAACTTAATTCTAATCAAGAGAAAAATCAAAATGTGCATTGAGATCATTCAAGGATACCGCTGGTTATGTATCAAAAATGTTATCACTGGTGTGGTTGCATGTGTACGTGATCCCAGCACTGGAGAGGCTGAACAGGAGGCTCTCCAGTCTGAGTTCCTTGTGACCCTGAAACTACATAGCAGGACCCTACCTTATAGTAGTCTGAAGGGGTAACAGGAGGTCAAGGTCATACAAAACCGACAACAGCAGAGTTACTCTCTTAGACAAGAGGGGTTGAGGAGACAGATGCCTACAAGCAGCATAATGTCCTTTGTCTCCTGAGCAAACAGGCTGTCAAGGATGCCTTCGAGTTTCCAGTTCTGCTGACACAGGCTTTACAGGCATGGATTCTTGCTTTAGAAAGTTCTTTTGTTTGTCCTGGCAGGGATGGTGCATGCCTTTAATCCTAGCACTCAGGAGGCAGAGACAGATGGATCTCTGTGAGTTTGAGGCCTGTCTGGTCTACAAGAGCTCGTTCCAGGATAGCTAGGACTATTACACAGAGAAACTCTGTTTTGGGGGAAAAAAAGAAAAGGAAAAGACAGTTCTTCCTTTTATTAATAGATAAAATGAAGCAAAATCAAATGAAGTCTTAGCTTAGTCTTTTTATTTCTTTAAAAATTTATAATAGAAATTGCATGTAATCAACTTCTTCCCACATAGTAAAGTGTAGAAGGTGTAGAATTGAAGAATAACAAGCAGATGTACTGTGTTAGTTCTTCCCCCAGTCATGGTTGTTATCACACAACTTCTGATAAAAGATGTGATGGCCCCATTTTTTACTCAGCGTATACTCTGCTTTGATAACTAGAGCTTAATTTTCTACTTTAAATTTTGTGTGTTCCTATCAAATTATACAATTGTCATGTCTGTTCAAACCAGCTTTACATCTATTCATGCCTTATGTAAGCTAATAATTGAAGTTCATCTTCATCATTGTTTCTTCATTTTGAACCATGATAGCTTGATTACTCTATTGAGAGAACTTGCCCAATAGTCTATTAGTCCATTATTTACCATTGATAGTGGAGTCTGGCTCAGCCATGTAAAGGATTTTTGACATATATTGCTATAGACCTAGACACAGAGTAATTGTTAGCTGATAGGGATGATGTGAAGATGATAGCCTGGTATCAGGTAATTCGTTTTTCTGCTGTGGCTTTCTTTATGAACATTGTATCCTTTTATTCTTCAAAATTGTCAATATGTCATATACTTTTATCCTCACATGTCTATTCTCATACCATGAGACATTCTAGTGATATCTGAGTTGTTTTAGCAAAAGAATCTACTTCAGATCAGAAAGTGTTTTGTCAAGAGACAGAACAAAAAAGGCATCCTTATTATTTTCATAAATACCTCAATTTATATATGCCGGTTTCTTTGTTAAAGTCACTAGAATATGAATATCAGGGCTAAAAGGTTTAGATCAAAATCCCTGTTCTGAGTAATCAGTGGAGACAACCAGAAAATTATAACCTGTGAAGTTTTTGAATATTCTGTTTAAGTAAAATGTTTATCAAATTTTTATATGTCCAATGAATGAACAAGTTAGAAGGCATTTTCCCCCAGGAGTGTTTCATTGACTTTGATGTTTCTAAGTGCAGGGCAGAAGGCTGAAATGCTGTAAGAACATTTGTTCTGTTCTTACTTAGTATTGCTGAAGCTCTATAGAAGGACAAACTTATTTAGTCACTGCAGTTGCAATCCAATGAAGTAGGTAGTAGCAATATTCGTCTGATAGGAAAATTATGGCAATTAAATAAGTAGTAGCAGTGTTTGTCTGATGGGAGAACTACACAACTGGGAGGGTAAATAGATCACCTATTTCAGACAGGTGTTGTGAGCCTGTCTCAAGATATACACTCCCTTCCAAGTCATTACATCTCTCAGAATAAGACTCTACTTAACTATTATTTCAACTCCCATCTCATTAAATTCTTCTTTTTCGTAAATGTATTTATCTTTGCTATTTTCAAAAAGAAAAGGAATTATTTATGATCAGGAACAGTATTAGTTCGCCAAGAGAAGCTAAGTTTTTTTTTATTGTTTTTAGAATTTATTTTATTTTTATTTTTACTTATGTGTCTGTGTGTGATTGATTGTGTGCTGTGTACGTAAGGGTATAGAGGAGGTCAGAAGAAGGAGTTGGGTCCTTTTGAGTTGCTTACTATGGGTGCTGAGTATCAAACTTGTTTTATTTTAAGAACAG